TATATCTTATCTTATTTTCTTCTTGCTCTATTGAGAGAGCATTTTATTAGAAGTAAATTCATATATATTATCTTATTAAGAAGATAATTGTATTTTTGTTATAAGTAAAACATGTATAAGTTATCTTATTGAGAAGATAATCATATTTTTATTAGTAGTAAACCTCACGTATATTATCTTATTGAAAAAAATAACCAGTTATATAAATTCTTGAAGCTATAAAAGTAAATAACTGCCATGAACACAGTTACTATTACCATTTTAAAATAATTATATATGTATAATCTTAAAATGGTAATAATAGTAAAAGATTATTATCTGGAACTGAGATAATATTAATTTCAAAATTGACTGGCTATCTAGTATTTATGTTTCTTTCTGTATAGTTATTAGTATAATATTTCATTTTATTATATTTAAAATACTTGATATTTGAGATATTATTATTATTATTATTATTATTATTTATATTTTTCTTTGACAATCTATAATCATGAACTATGTGATCATTTTTATCATAATTATAGCAAGTTTTGCTTTAATTAGGATGATTGTTAGAATTTTAATTATTCTGTATTGATAACTTCTTTACTTATTCTGTTAGATTAGCTATAACTCTACTCATATCATTTGCTAAACTTGGAATGGAAAAGAGAATATCAAGATTTTGTGACATAAGCGAAATAGAGTTAAGAGAGTTCTGATAGGTCTATTTGTAACTAGATTCAATACTGATTGCTTCTGTAATCACTACATCTAGAGTGTTTGGATTAGATTTATTTATATGAAAGACAATTTCTAATTTTAAGTCTTTTATAAATTGCTTAATATAATAAATGATAGGATATCACTTGTTGAATCAATTTTTTAAAGTAATATGTAAATATTCTCAGCATATGAAGTTATATCTTCATTTATTTTTTGCATTCTTAATCTTAATTATTGTTATCATGCTAAGACTTAAGTATTAATTCTAAATTATATAATGAAGATTTAGTAAAATGAATTATTATCATTGTTATCATTTTAGCTAGTAGGTCAATCAGCATTTGCAAATTTACTTTGCTAATATCAAGTTAAGATAATTCCTCTCAAATAGATAGATACTATTTCTATTTTTCTTGAATTTGTTATGTTATTTATATTTGCTGTACAAGTAAATTTCTCAATCCAATTCATAGGATCTTCATGTGTTCCACTATTGTAAAAAGGAAGAAATATTGTTAATAACTTAACTTGTCTATTTTGTTGATTCTGCATTGCTTGAACAAGTAATAAAAATGCTTGAACTAAAGTTTGTACAACTTGATCTGTCATTTCTTTTTCTTGATTCCTTTAGAATTATAGTGAAGATGAATCTAAAAGGATAGGAAGGTGAACTTTTTCTTCTTCTGAAGACTCCTCTTTTGTTATGTTTCTTGACTGAACTGGAGCTCTTCTTCTATGTAGAAGATTAGTAAAGAATGTATTAGAGATTGAGGCTGAAGTGGATGATGATGGAATTAATATAGAGATTCTGACTGAAGTGTTAACTGAAGCACTAGATCTTGATCTCTGAGTATAATATGATCTTTGTTGATTAAATGTAGTAATTTTCTCATGTAAATTATGGATGATATCAGCAATCTCAGTTACAGTATGAGTTGAATACTTTTGAAACCAAAGTTGTATTTGATATTTGCTTGTTGATACTTCTTCTTTTGATATATCAGCAACAAATAAATTATAAACTAATCAGCATAGTTCCTTTTCTAACTGTCTGGATAATCTTGGTGGATTAAGGAGATTGATTAATCTTTGAAGCTGTCTTTCTAAATCGATGTTGTGAAAGTAAAAAAAGAAGATTTTGATCAAGGCATGGCCCAGGTAGAATAAAATCGTAATTTTTGCATTCAGATATACTGTATATATGTTACTAATTTTGATAATTTTACAGAACTGCATTCGTCTCTTGAAACCAACCGGAAACGTAAGCATGATGAAATCGAGAGTGATTTTGCCGATAAGGCATACGGAATCGTTACCGATGGCCGAGCATGGTACTTTGTCGAGTTTATTATGGATGGTGATAAACCTAGAATCAGCATTCATTCGGAAACACCAGCTGTCCTAGATTGGACCGAGGAGTCTGAGACTTTGGAAAAGGGGGCGGGTAGAATATTGGGTCGAATCGTTTGGCTTTTAAAAGAGGCGGAGCAATGGAGTAAGTTAAATATGACGGAGAAAAGGCGGAGAATTCGTTAGTACGAGGGTGATCACGAGAGCTTTGTAATTTATTAAATATTTTTATTAGCCAATAAATCTTCGTGCGTCTCGCCATCCGGAAATGCATCAGATATGAGTTCACATCCATTAAGATTGAGTAATTTAAGATTTGGGTTGGATTGCGCAATTTTTTTAACCGATATAACAATTCTCTAACACATATCTTTGCATATTTGGACAAACTGAAGTAATTGCACATATACCTTCATCTGTTATTTTCTGGCAATCGATTAAACTTAGAGTGTGGCGTTTTTGGCATGATTTAGCTATCTCGATTATAGATGTATCAGTAATATTCTCATTATACTCTAATTTAAGGTGATACATGAGCGAGCAACTGCTCTCAATGATATATCGGTTATCTTAGAAGTGCCAAGCTTTAGGTACTGTAGATTTGGACTCAAATGAGCGATTTTGCATAAAGTTATATCCTTCATATTTTTGTATTTGCCAAATCGTTTTACATTTGTTATTTCTATATTGCGTGATATATTAAGAGATTCCAAATGGCAAATTTGTGCGATTTTACTAATGACCCTATTGGATAAACCACAACACCATTTGATCTTTAGATGGCGTAAATTAGGACAGGATTCAGCGATCCTATATAGCATATCGTTAGAGACCTTGCATCCAGAGAGATGAAGCCGAAGTAAAAATATAACATGTGGTTTTTGATCGCATTACCTTTTTAAATTTACTCCATTGTATACAAGATTTTTTTAGATCGCCAGTAAATTCGGCCCTTCTCCATAAAATCGGGGCGCCATTTCTATACCACAACCGGTTAACAAATAAAGTTGGGTATAATGCTTTGCCTTCGGCAAGATATGAGAAAATTTCTGTCAATATTTCAGGTAGGATAAGTGGGTGAAATTTAATATGTGACATCGGTTGTTATCTTTGGGTGATTAATTCATTTGATTATATTAAATAATTCATAGCGATATAAAATGGCATCTGAACTTCGTGAACAACTTTCTGAATTTATAGGTTTTAAGCTCGATGAGATTCGTCTTCCAGAGACAGAGAGAGATCAACAACTTTTTCAAAAAATTATTGCGGATCAAAGAACAGCAACAGGTATTGTGATAGATGGAGTATCATTCCCTGCTCCGTACCGGATACAATGATAAAGGGGGTCGATTGATACACATCGGGTGGTTAATATGTGTAATACAAAAAGGTTTTGTTAAATATGCCTCATAATATTTCCAATAAAATTGAAACACATCTCCGACACAAATTCAAAGGCATTCCACTGGCACCCATAGTAAGGTACCCCAACATCCCATCGCAATTGGATTCAGAATATGACATTATTTAGCCACTATGTGACTGCCTTCGGCAATTATCATCAATTATCGTGTTCGTCAATATCAGAATTTTGTAGACCCGAAGGGTCATCATCGAGATGAGGCCCTGCTCTGCAATAGATAACCTTTTTCGATAAGAGAATTTTTAACAAACGGATATAAATCAGCAGAATACGGCACTTCAATAAGATCTATGTCTTCTCGCTTGCATCTTTCCCGCTTTTTTTGATCACGCAAAATTTGGGCTTTTAGATCACCCTGACGATCGGTCCGGTGGTATAAATCGTTAAGGGTAAAATGTTGGGGTCCTTGATATTCCCATGCCAACTTTAACTCTTCGTTATATCCATCGAGTCTAAAAACTTTGGTGCACATGGGGGAAACTTCTTGCCCAGCAAATCCTCAAAGATATATCGACATCGGGTTGTATGGGGCAAAGTGGACACCATTCAAACTTCTTCGCAATCAATGGATATAGATATTCGAATCGATGGAGTCCATTTTCGCATGACCAGAGATATACATTCGGGCCATTTATCCGCCCAGTTTTACCAAGACACTGTCCACCACGCTTCTCGGCATAAGCCTGAGCTTTAGCCATTTTATTAGTAGCACGAATGAAATGAACTGATCTGAAGCGAGTGTTTTCTTCCAATATACTCTGGGGCGGATATTCGATTTTTTCCGGAAGCACATGCATGAGCTCTTCCCTCACAAGTGCCCTTTTTGGAGCAAATTCATCGTCATCACTCCCGAGATAATATAAATTGGCTCATTTTTAGAGACTACGATTTTGCGGACTTTATGAAGGCTTGGTGAGAACGTCGGATTGGTACTTCTGCGGTTCTCCAAGCCTGGTGATCCTTCCCATTCTCCATTAACTAACAAGTAACGAACTGTATCACCTTTCTTTAACTTATTATCCTCCTTTTTCCCAATTTGGCGTTTTGGTTTTATTGCTGGTTTTGATTCGACCTTTTCTAACATGATCGCCTTTGCAGGTGCCAATCCCCATTTCGAAGAACCTGGAGCCCGAATCAGACGAGTCGGATAATTATTTAGATAATCAATCACTTGAGGGAGATTCTTGACCCAAGCTCTTACTAGCCGAGATTTAGAATCTATAGCTTCGACAGCATATTGGATTTTATAGAGAATTTTTGAAAGCGTCTGATTGAACCTCTCCACGAGTGCCATGCCACGATGGGAATATGGACCAATCACTCGGATTACAACGCCATGTTCTTGCATTAGTCTTGATGTCTCACCCATCCATTCCCTCCCGTTATCCGTTTGAAGTAATTTCGGGTATGTGAGTGGATTTTGTGAATCTTCATACACACTCCTAAATGCATTTGCGACTTCACGAGCATTTTTCGATGTGAGAGGAACTGAGGCTTTAAACCTGCTAGCAACACAAATTATGTTGAGGACTGCTGCCCATTTTTTACCTTTGTAGTGATCATGAATGAGGAACAAGAGGTCGCACTGATGTACACAATTTGGACGTGAAATCCGCCCGTAGCTGGCTCGCTGTATGTGTTTCGGGGGCGGTGCATATTTTTGTCATTCACTTTGGTTTTGTAACCAGTCACGAATTTTTTTTAATGGAAACTTGTACCCCTCTTTCATGAGATCCTTATATAATACTCGAGCATTGGAATGGTAACCTGTCGGAGTATAATATATTTTTTGACAAACAAAGGGTAATACTTCTGACGAATCTTTAACTACCTGTGATTCTTCCATTCGATTTGAATATTTGTATATTAAGAACAAAAATGACTCGACTAAAGTATTCTTTAGACTGCGCAAGAATTGGCTGAGCAACATGGAGGTGTCTATCGATAGAATATATACATGTTAAATACCCCTTACGTTGGAGATGCTCTAAAGGCCATGTATGGGAGAGAGAACTCTATGCCATAAAGTCTGGTTCGTGGTGTTTGCAATGTTCTTGGGGCGGGCGAAAAGTTGGTTTACAGGTTGCTAGAGATATCGCATTAAATAAAGGCGGAGAGTGTTTGTCTGAGGAGTATGTCAATATGTTGATAATGCATCACCTCTCCTTTGGGAATGCTCTGAAGGGACATAGATGGGCCACTCCACTCGCGAATGTTAAGAATAGAGGTACCTGGTGTCGTAAATGTAATTCAATAAATCAATCTTGTGGTCTCGGGGTTGCTGTGAAAATTGCATATGATAAGGGTGGCCAATGCCTCTCTGATAAATACGTCAATAAAGAAACCCCATTGTTATGGAGCTGTAGCAATAATCATTTGTGGTATGCTTCTCTGGGAAGAGTAAAAAATAACAATACATGGTACCCACACTGCGCAAAATGTGGGTTTAAATTAAGCCTTGACGAGATGCAAAAAATTGCACATGAACATGGTGGTGGATGTCTTTCTAAACAATATACCAGATCTAAAGATCATTATTATTGGAAATGTGCGAAAGGTCATATATGGACTGCATCCTTTACTAGCATAAGAAATAGTGGTACCTAGTGTCCTATTTGCTATGGGTTTTACTATACTATTGAAGATATGCGAAAACTTGCACTAGAAAGAGGTGGTGCTTGTTTAGGAGATGTATATATATTAACGGAATTACGAAATTGCGATGGCGTTGCAAACAAAATCATCAATGGATGAGTTGCCCTGCTAATATTTTACAAGGTATATGGTGTCCTTACTGCGCAGGTAATATAAAACTTTCCATTTGAATATGCTAAGCAAATTGCTTGTGAAAAGAATGGAGAATGCGTTTCCGAATTTTACTTCAATAGTTCCAAACCACTCGTATGGCGTTGTTCAGAAGGACATGAGTGGCAGGCCAGTTTAAATAGTATTAAACAAGGAACTTGGTGTCCACACTGTAAATTCAAGCGCGAAAAAATATGTCGAGAGATCGTAACAAAATTATTAGGCTTGCCACCATCTACTATTCGCCGACCCGATTTCTTAAAAACGCGAGAACACCCCCCCCCCACAGGATTAGAGCTTGACATTCCATACCATGACCTAGGCTTCGCAATTGAAGTCCAAGGAATCCAACATTCAAAATATATCAAGTTTTTCCATAATGACGATCCCAATAATTTTATCAGGCAATAGGAGCGGGATCAACTAAAAAAAGAATTATGCGATGAGAACGATATCTATTTATTTTATATTCACCATGACGATGAAGACCCAGAAAAGACTATTCGCACCAGGACTTGTCGATTAGTCAATCATGACTTCACTATTATAATATCAATATTCAATAGCTCGTATTGCAATTATTTTTTTTTTGACCCAATAATTTCGTGACCATAACCTGATACCTCGACCGATCTTTCCATTTGTCCATTACCCCGAAAAAGCGCAAAATGTAAGGATGCCGATCCCAATCCAAAAAAGCGCAACTGACAAATTTATGGCTGAGATTTCGTAACGCCTGATATACAATCCTTCGGAGTATGTTAAACAGACCCCGCCACAATCGAATTTCCCGTGAGCCAGCTTCTAACCTGGAGTTGGAATTGCAACGCGTCAATCAAGAACTCTAAAACACCTTGAATTCAGAGGTGGATATTAGTCGAAAAAATGAGAAGACAATTGACTGGCTCGAAAGGGAGTTACAAATTCACGACACCAAATCCAAATTTCTCTGAAGAAATAGAACAGCTTGAGAACGCTTCGGAGGAGGAAAAAGCAGACTTGAGATCGGAAATCTCGAAACTTAATAAAGAATTATACCAAACCAAAAAGGAAGCGCGAGATAGGGAGAATTATATTGTCAAACAGCGCTTGGTTGAATATGATAAGGCTTTTCAAGGCAGAGAATCTGCATAATCTCATCTCATGGTAATTCGCCAGTTCGAAATAATTCACCTGATATATATTCAATTTCTCGAGATACAAACATGGCGCGCACATGAGTGAATATTGCTCTAGTTATAGGCCAAATAATTGGCAAGCTTGATGATATCTAAACCAATTCCGACCAGCCAATCAATTTTATGCTCCAACTAGAGGGTATATTCATGATATTGAAGATTTTTTAGAACAAATTCGACAAGAAGATGCTTATTCTAGATACGAGTATAATCAATTAGATGGGCGATACCAGCGTCTTAATACACGCCATACTGCATTGGGACAAAATCAGAAATGAGCGAGATGCCAAGTAGATTTACATCAACAAGATATCGATTTATTAGGCCAGCAAAATATTGACTTCCAGAGGCGTCTCTATCATAGTGATCTTTCACTTCGAATTCTTGAGAGAAAAAGAGCCAGCGATTTGCGAGAAAAAATTGCAAGCCATCCTAAAATCATCATCTGACTTCTGCTTTATTAGAAGCCCAACAAAAATATGATAGACGTGGTAATGCATGGAGGAATGCTAGCTTGGCATGGAATCGGCAAAGTAAACACAAATGGGCTCTTGAAAAAATCTATAAGTCAGAAATTTACCGATTGCAACAAGAGCTACGAAATTTCAAAAAGCAAAAGGCTCTTGATGACAATAGACAGGAACAGATTCTTACCGATTTAGAAATTGCTGAGGATGACTTCAATGTTGAGCAGACCCAAAATATCGCCAACCAGCAATTAATTAATAATTTAAATCAGCAAATTTTAGCGCTTCAGAATAATCTACCTATTAATATACAAACAAACATGGCATTACAACCACTATCACTACCAAATTTTTCGGGTGAGTATGATGAAGATATTGATATTTTTAATAGTCGATTGTCATCATATCTAGCTGGTGTTGGTATAGATCCAGTTGCTAATCGGGATCAAGCATTTGGTATTCTTAGAGGGTGCTTATCTGGACGTGTATTAATATGGTTTGATGAGAAAATTCTTGGTAAGCATTGGGAACTTCACAATATATTTGCAAACCATGGTCAGGCTGGTATGGGCAATCTTCGAGGACGCACTATGGGACAAATGAATACTAGCAATAGTTTTAGAAATCCTTCAATTGCTTATGATTATGCAAATATTGCTGGTAATAATACTATAACAGTAGGAGCTTCAATGATTCTAGCTGAAGCCTTTACTGAAGATTGGTGCTTGGCTGGGAGACATCCATCAGATAGATCTGTTAATATTATTAATGCAAGTAATGATAATCCTATAATATTTGGAATTGGTCAAGCATTATATTAGCTTAGAAACAAATATCCTACTGTAAGAAGTGAAAAGTGCAATTTAGTATATGAATCATCAGCATAGGAAAGTGAATCTATAGAAGAATTTTACAAAAAACTTATAAAATATGAAAAAATACTTAATCTCAATAATCAACAGATTAAAGATTAATTTTTATAAGATTTATCTTCAGACTTGAAAGATGATGTAAAGTGTATTGATATTAAATAATCATTAGTTAATCTTTTTAAAATTTTGAAATGGATTGAAATGTAAAGCGCAAAGAAAAAATTAGAATTGATTATTAAAATATCTTAGTCTAGTTATAAGTTATTCTTCTTCAAATCTTGAAAATGAGAATTATTTAAATAATATAGTTATGATCAAAATTAAAGTTAGAAACTTGATAAAATTTATAATAATATTTACAGAATTTCTTTATAATTAGTTAGTAAAGAATTAATATGATCTAATCAAATAAAATCAGATAAAATATATTAGAATTCAAATTTATATTTAAATAATACAGAATATTATATTATAATATTTTAATATATTTTAATATTATAAATAATAATATATCTATCTTATAAAATCTTAATAAAGAAATAATTAATAAAATTTCATCTTTCTTGTTCAAGAAAAGTAATGAAAATAATTTAATAAAATAAATATAATTAAAAAATATTAAAGCTGATTCTGATAAAGAATTAGCTAATTTTATATAAAAATAGTTAAAATATATATGATTAAAAGATATTAAAAAAGCTGTAAATTTATATTATCATTACTTAAAATATAATAAAACTGAATATAATTTTTGTAAATATACTTAATAAATTCAAAAATAAAGTTAAACTAAATATTATTACTATAGATTTAAGTTCTAAATCAAATATTAATTTTTCTAATAATGATTCTGATTCTGATTCTATATCTAATTTTAAAAAATCTATATCTAAAGTTAAAAGTATGAATATTAATATTTTTAAAGTAAAAAAAAATAATAAATGATAATACTTCTAATAAAGTATCTTTATAGAAAATAAAATCTAAGCAATTTAAGACTAATAAAAAATTCAAATCTCACAAATTAAAATAAATATCTCTAGAAAAAATCATTAAAAAAATTACTATTTCTATATTTATTATAAAGTCTTGAATCTAATTTTAAAAAGCTAGCTTTAACTAGTATAAAAAAGATATATATAATTAAATAATAATATTTCTGTTTATTTTTCTGAAAATCTTAATGAAAATTAAATTTATATTTTTATTTATTTTTTTTTCAAAAAATAATTTTTTGTATAATAATAAATTAAAAATAATTCTAAAGAGTTATATATTTATAAATTTTATTATTTATAATAATTATTATCTTTAAGATATTTTTTGTAAAATAAAATAATATATAATTTATTTATTTTATTATATATTATTACTATTTTAAGTTTGTGTATATGCAAGTAATTTAAAATAGTAATAATAATTATATTTATAATAATTATTTATTTTTAATTATAAAAGATTAAGATGACTAATTATCTTTTTAATAAGATAATTAAATAGATTTTACCTTTAATAAAATACTTTTTTAATAGGACAAGAAGAAATAATAAAAATAAGATATATAATAAATATATATATTTATTATAAAAAAATACTAATTAATTACTTTTAACTTAGTAATTAACTATTCTATCAAACTTAATTATTCTTTTTGATTACTTTTTGACTTTTTATATATAATATTTTCTTATTATACTAATTACAAATTATTTTTAATATAATATTTTATCTAATTTACTTAAGAACAAGTAAAATCTTGAAAGAATTATTATAAAGAATCTTTTTAAATTAAATATGAAATAATTAGAAATTAAAATTAGTAAAATATTAAAGAAATTATATTTAAAGAAAGAAAAACTAATAATAATTAATTAAAAATTATTATCTAATAAAATTATAAATTAAATATAATATATATAGCTAAATTAATAAATAAATAAGACTAAATATAGATGATAAAATAAATTAAATTAGTTATTATTAGCTTTTGTATATCTAATTTGGAAGTAATTATTAATTATATTATCTATTATAGTTATATTATATATTGTATCACTTTACTATACTATTTATATTAGCTAATTAGTTATAGAATTTTTAATTTTAAGAAATTTACTTTATAAATTTTTAATTATTATTAATTATAATAACTAGTTTCAGATTATTAAACTTAATATATAACTTCAAATAATTATTATTATAAAGATTTTTCAAGACTTTTTTATTTAGATTTTAAAATTTATAAGTATCTTTATTATAAGCTTTATAAATATAGAATAATTTTTTTCATTTTTTATCAAATTTATCATAATATTAATATTAAGTTTCTATTTATTTTATCAATACTTTTTGTTCTATTTGAAAAACTATTAACTTTTATTTCTTATCATATTATTTTTTTTATCTAAATTATTTTTCTTGAATATTACTAAGAACTAATTCTTATATAATTTTAAGTTTATTAATTATTTTATATATTTTTTTAATAAGAATTTCTTCCAAAGTGAGATTATTAAAGTCTTTTAACTTAATATCTAATAGTATAATTATTTATTAACTATATATTAGTTGAAAGAATTCAAATAAGATTATATTTTATTTCATTATCCTATAAGTAAATAATACTAATAAAAAATAGTAATCATAATTTTTTTTATAAAGCTAAATATATTTTGATAATAAAATATATAAAGTTTTATTTAGTCTTTCTATTAATCTATTTATTTGAAAATAATAGAATGCAAATAGTCTGTATTTAATTTGATATCTTTCTAATAATTCTTTAATCATTTTATTAATAAATATAATTTCTTTATCACTTAATATTTCTTTTGGAAATTCATGTAATAATATTAGATTAGTTATTAATAATTATAGTATATTTATCTTTTATCTTGCAAATTATTGTTGCATCACATACTGTATTACACGTAACTTACTACGCCACAATTACCTGATCATACCAAGAAAAGTCATCCAATTATTTTGAGTTATTTTAGCTATAGATAGTTTTTTAGTAGAACTGCTCTTTTCTCTTGTTCTACTAATTTAGCTAGTATATTATTAAATTTATATATT